CCCGGGGTGTCCTACTTGGTGCCCCTGCTTGGAAACTACCTTATTGGCAGTGGATTGTTTGCCATCACTGTGAGTTCCCATATTTCAGTCCCAGTACTCTGTAGAGAGTCAGATATCTGGCCGGAGACCGAGCATCGGGGTCACGGAAACCGAGGTCGCCTACGAGGAGATCCAATGACGACTGACTTAAGACTTGTTGTAGATGACTTCGGCTGTGTACATCATCGACCTGTCACCGCAGCACGCTGTTGCGTCGAGCGCGTCGCTTGCACTTTTACGATACCCCTCTGGAGCGTTGTTTCCGCTTTTAGAACATGCTTTTGAATCTCTCACCAGCAACAGTAGCGCCAAGTGGCTCATCACGGCCGCGTCTGTCTCCACCATCCCACTTGTGGTTTGGCTCCAGTACAACTGCGAGCGATTCCGGGTGAGACTCCGGGACTTATTGTGAGAAGTGGTGTATTATTGATACTTGTTGAATCTGTACCATTTAACAAATGATACCCTTGCGAGAAGCTTTTTATGCTTGGAAGTCAGCTTCGTTGGAAAGAATATTCTTATAAACGACGGATGTTTGTTTAGACTTGGTTAGACTTTGGATCTCGAAACATATTTTTTGGGCATTAGAGAGATTTGAAAGGGTAGATAAGGAGGTAGATGTCTAAAAACGAACAAATGGCATTTCACTTTCGCCGACAGAAATCAGGATGGAGGTATGTTCAGAGTCGGGTAAGGTAGTGGGAAAGGGTACGGTAAGGTACATTGTGAAGGTTAGTGGAAGAAACGGTTATGGCCCTATCTCCATTATCTCTATAGAAGCATATGCGAGTCACGTCACTGCCTTACATAAGCCATGGCGCAAACCTGGAGCCATCTGTCTGCTCCATCCGAGCGGCGAGGAACCAATGGCATCGACACTATTCGTTTGGGAGACGGCAGCCCGTGGAACTGGATTACGCTAATCCCAAATGAAACCAATTATATCGTCACGCGGCTCGCACATCAAGCTTGGAAATAGGTCGACCAACGCTTTCCCCACGTGTTGCAGCCACCAGGAAATCGTGGGATGCTATTCAAGTAGCTTAAACACCATTTCGACCCTTTGAACCAACTTCGCGATACCGATACCTATCGCCCGATAAGAAGTCGCACGCGACCCTCTGCCACCATACCGCCCCCAGCAGATCTCCGTAATCCCTCCTCTACCCACCAAGCAGGCACTGCAAGCCCACAAGTCCTAATTGACCTCGATAAACCTTCTACAGGCCTTCGGGAACGGGGAGGGAGCTCCACCAACAGTAGCAGCAACTCCACCGTTGCTCAGGCTGAGAGCTACGAGCTTGCCGACTACAAAAACATCTCCGCTCAGAAGGCCGCAAAGGACCTCGAAGCCCGGCGAGAAGAGAAAAAACTTTGGAAGAGAAGGTGGCTCGACGAGCAGGACGATATGAAGTTCTCACACAGCATCCAGTTTAATGCTGTTCCGGACTGGAGCAGTCATTACATTGCCTACAGCAACCTAAAGAAGCTGTGAGTACCCAATGCCACCTCTGGCCGCGCCATGTCCTGAAGACCTAAGTAGCTAACTAGATCTGCGTTGCAGTATCTACCAACTCGAGAAGACAGTCCACCAAACCTCCTCAGGCGACGCCGAATCAAGACCTCTTATCCGAAACGAAGAACCCGAAGATGTGTTTAGCCGTGCGCTCGGTGTAGAATTGGAGAAGATTTGCTCCTTCTACGTGTCCAAAGAGGGCGAACTTCTCGACGAGGTCAATCAATTATTGGGAGATGTTGGCAACCACTCTTCAGAGGACGACGAAAATGATGGCGAACCCAGACGTTCATTCGGCAGCGCCTCTCGGCCGGGACTTTCGGTCAACGGCAGGAGAACTTCCGTCTCGATCGATGGCAACATGGAGGATAGTGACGATGACGAGGACGATGATGAAACCACCGGCCTGACGAAGAGTCGCTCAAGCCTTGGCGGTGGCAGACGCAAGACTGCCCCGAATCTGGGGCACTCGGTCACTGACATGACTGCTTCAACTGATCTGACGCTGGGAAGATCGCTGCGGCGGTACAGCACGGCGAACGACGAGATCCCGGACCAGACCTTCCTCTACTCTTCGGGCATCATGCTCAAGAAGCGCATCATCAGCCTCTACGTCTCGCTCTGCGAGCTCAAGTCGTATGTGCAACTGAACCGGACGGGTTTCAGAAAGGTCTTGAAGAAATTCGACAAGATTCTCGACAAGGAGCTGCGGGTCAAGTACATGACTGCCAACATCGACTCCGCATACCCATTCAAGTCGGAAAACATCAAGAGTATCGAGGAGAACATCTCCAAGATGGAAAAGGCGTACGCCGAGATAGTGACTCAAGGCGACGAGGGACTCGCCAAGCGAGACCTGAGATCTCACCTCCGCGAACACGTTGTTTGGGAGCGTAACACTGTCTGGCGAGACATGATTGGTATGGAGCGTCGCGCAGAGGCTGCGAGCTTGGGCAGAGGGCTTCTGGGAAGGGATGGAGCGACGGGATCCAGGCGGTTGCAGGGCGATGATGAGCTTGCCCCAATCACCAAGGAGGTGGTTACTCCCGTGGGCCGTTTTGTCGTGCCCACGTGGGTTGCCAACACGCCTCTGCTCACTCTCCTGATCGCTCTAGGCGTTTTCCTCCTTCTCCTTTTCCTTCCCATCATGGAGAAGCCAGAGCAACAGAACTGCTTGGCGTTGCTTGTGTTTGTCAGCATCCTTTGGGCTACAGAGGTGAGTTCTCTCTGGATCGAATGCAAATGGTCGATGCTAACCTCAAGATAGGCCATCCCGTTGTTCGTTACGTCGCTTATGATACCCTTCCTCTGCGTCGTTTTGACTGTCGTTCGCTCTGAAGAAAAGCCCTACAGAAGGCTTGATGCCAAGGCCACCACAGCCTACATCTTCTCGGCCATGTGGACACCTGTCATCATGCTTCTGCTCGGTGGATTCACCCTGGCCGCGGCTCTCTCCAAGTGCAAGATTGACAAGCGGCTCGCGACTTTTGTCCTTAGCAAGGCCGGAACCACTCCGCGCACTGTACTCATTGCCAACATGCTCGTGGCGGCATTTGCCAGCATGTTGATCAGCAATGTCGCCGCACCAGTTCTTTGCTTCTCCATCATTGAGGTTAGTTTTCCCTCACCCCCTTACTTGTGGGAATTATCGCTGACTTGTGCCGCAGCCGATGTTGCGAACGCTGCCCTCAGAGTCAAACATGTCTAAGGCTGTCATCATGGGAATTGCGCTCGCCTCCAACATCGGTGGCATGCTATCCCCTATTGCCTCGCCGCAGAATGTTGTCGCTATTGGTATCATGAAGCCCGCGCCTACCTGGATCCAGTGGTTCTTCATTGTTATTCCTGTCGGCATCGTCTCGCTGCTCCTCATCTGGATCTTGCTGTTGGTTACGTTCCAACCGAGCAAGGGAACCACCATTGCTCCGATCCGCCCTGTGAAGGAAAAGTTCACAGGTATCCAATGGTTCGTCTCCATCGTCACGCTCATCACCATTGGCCTGTGGTGCGGTAGCCACCAGATGGAGTCCATCTTTGGTGACATGGGTGTCATTGCCATCATCCCCATCGTCCTCTTCTTTGGTATTGGTATCTTGACCAAGGAGGACTTCAACAACTTCCCGTGGACCATCATAATTCTGGCTGCCGGAGGTTTGTCTCTGGGCAAAGCCGTCAAGTCATCTGGTCTTCTGCACACGGTTGCTGGCGTCGTTACCAAGGAGGTCGAGGGCATGAGTCTCTACGTCGTCCTTGTCGTCTTCTCAGCCCTTATTCTCGTCATCGCCACATTCATCAGCCATACAGTCGCAGCTTTGATCATCCTGCCGCTGGTGTTTGACGTTGGCTCCAACATGGACGAACCCCACCCGAATCTGTTGGTCATGGGTGGTGTTTTGATGTGCAGTGCCGCTATGGGTTTGCCAACAAGTGGTTTCCCCAACATGAGTAAGTTTCTTCAACGTTCCCAATATCGGCAGATTACTGACCAACGATCCAGCTGCCATTATGAAGGAAGACCCGACTGGTCAGAGATACCTCCAAGTAAAACATTTCATCAGCCGAGGTGTGCCCAGCAGTATTCTCACATTGGTTGTCGTCGTGTCCTTGGGATATGGCCTCATGAGGGTCGCTGGGTTGGACTAAGGTCTTGTCTTTACGTGACCGCTACGTACACGCATTTGGTCATTGATTTCTGTATCGTATGTCTGAAAGAAGAGAATGCTGGGCTGCGTTTCCTTCGATTTGTTTCAAAAAGGGCGTAAATCCAAAGGATCTCCAAAGGGAAGCCTGCGGTTGGAACATAGACACCGGTTTACATATTATACTTGGCTTTTCCCTGGTTTCTGTTTGATAGCTTTTATTGCTCTTATTTTGTATGTAAGGTAGACTGGAGTAAGCGATAGAATGGTACTGCGAAGCGTTTACTCAGGCAAGGATCCGGATAACTTTGCAGTTCTCTGCTAAATACCTGAACTTCAGCTGATAACTATGATATTCAAGAGGAAAGACGTGAGATTCTGACGTAGAGAAGGTGAAATGATGTTAAAAGTAAGCTTCTATGCATGTGACGCCAACATGCTCTGCGAACCCCGGCAAGCCCGCCAACCAATCAGATGCTGTAAACAGCATAGGTTGAAGGAGGTGGAGACAGGTTGCTCCAGGTGGGAGGGTGGCAGTGGCACTAGTCCGGATTGGGCAGAGAAAGAGGTCATCGGCTCCCTTGTGGAGTCTTCGCCCTGACGTACCGCCAGACGGCGCACTTTCGCCCAGCCATACCCGAACCGATACCTGGAGCTCAACAATCTCTCACTCACACACACGCGCGCCGTCATGATCGCATCTTGAGGCTCTATTGTGACAGACCTGGCGCTCTCTCTACAAACTACCCTTCTAATGAGGATATAGTAAACACACAACATATCCGCTCGGTGAGCTGGCAGTCGCCATGCTTTCGGCATTCACAGCTCGGCCGATCATAGAGCTTAAGCAACGGGATAAGTCCAAGATTGAGACAATCCTCGCGCATGGTGCGCTCCTCTCGAGTCGCATAATCTCACTGTGACATCTTCATCTAATAAATTGACGTAGGCGATCGTGTTTTCGTAGGCCTCAACAGCGGAGCTCTTCGCATCTACCGTCTCAACGAGCTACCGCCTCCGTCGCCGACCCAGGCCAATGGCTCCTCTCAACCTACCACGGCGGGTTCGCAAGACGCAACCGAGACCAACACGACGACAGAACAGCCGAAGAAACCTACAGACCTATTGCGCGAGGTAGAAAAGTTCTCGAACAGGGCGATTGAGCAGCTCGCCGTAATCAAAGAAGCCAACACTCTTGTCTCGTTGTCGAACTACTACGTATCCCTCCACGACCTCGGAACCTATGAGCCTCTAGAGACTCTATCGCGAACGAAGAACGCCACCTGCTTTGCCGTCACATCAAACATCGTGAAAGATGCAGCAACCGGAATACCAGAGATTATAAGTCGCCTGGCGGTGGCTGTCCGTCGTCGATTGCTACTATGGAGCTGGCATGAAAGCGAGCTGAGCGCCGACGTTGGGGAAGTTACATTACCGGAATCGATACGAACCGTCACATGGGCCAGCGCGACAAAGATCGTATGCGGAATGAACGCGGGATACGTTTTGGTCGACGTAGTCACCCATGAGGTCGAGGATATCAACAGCCCAGGCTCTGCGGCATCAGGCGGGCAGGCTAGTCGTTTCGGAGCGGTGAGCAGCGCTGGAATGGGCTATATGGGCCTCGGAGGATACATGCCCAAGCCGCTCGCCGCGAAGCTTGCCGAAGGCGAGCTGCTGTTGGCCAAAGACATCAACTCCATGTTCATTACGGACGAAGGAAAGCCGGTTGAAAAACGACAGATTCCTTGGCAAGCTGCTCCTGAGCAGATCGGTTACTCATACCCATACATCCTGGCTTTGCAAGCTCCGTCAAAAGGCTCGCTTGAAGTCAGGAATCCAGAGACGTTGCACCTGTTGCAGACCATACCCCTTCCAGGGGCGGCGCAACTTCACTTTCCGCCACCTAATGTCAGTCTCGCTCACGCGGGTAAGGGGTTCCACATCTCCAGCGACCGATGTGTTTGGAAAATGGGGGCTACCGACTACGATTCACAAATCGACGAGCTGGTCGAAAAGGGCAAATACGACGAGGCCGTCAGCATCCTTAACATGCTTGAGGACGCCCTCCTCCGAAACAAGAAGGAGACTCTCCGAGAGGTCAAAATGCTCAAGGCTGAGATGCTTTTCAAGCAAAAGAAGTTTTACGACTCCATGGATCTTTTCAATGAGGACGATGTTCACGCACCACCTGAGCGAGTTCTCAAGCTTTTCCCACCATCCATCGCCGGAGAGATGTCTGCTTGGGCGCACGGAGCGCAACCGGATGAATCTGGTAGCGATGAGAAAGAGAGTGAGGAGGAACCGCAGCAGAAAACAAATGGAGACAAGCCCAAGGAAGATGCAGCGGAAACACCCGTATCCCCGGCAAAAGGAGGCGTTGGCTTTGCCAAGTTATTCATGGGTGCCCGCAAGACGGTGCAGCCAGATGCTGCCTCGATCATATCCAAGAAAGACACAATAGATGTCGAAGAGACTGGGAGCATCAGAAGCAAAGCCACCGAGAACCTGCCGCTTGAGGGCGAGGAGCTCTTAGCTGCCGTTACATCTTTAGCTGGTTATCTTGTCGGGACAAGAACGCGTCTACAAAGGGTCATCGACCCGAGCACCGGCAAGCTGAAACGGACAGATACCAATGGCTCCAACAAAGAGACCATGAAGAGCTTCATGTCTGGCTCGCATGACGACGAATCGGGGAGCCAGCTAGAGGGAGAGATCCGGAGGACGTCGCGAATTGTAGACACCGCTTTGTTCCGGACTTACATGATGACCAGGCCTGCTCTAGCTGGGCCCCTTTTCCGCCTCCCGAACTTTTGCGATCCAGACGTGGTCAACGAAGCACTGCTTTCACACAGCCGATACAACGAGTTGGTTGATTTCTTCAGCGGCAAGAAGCTTCACTCTCAGGCACTTGAGCTTCTTAAGCGCTTTGGAACTGCCGAGACACCTGATGAGGCTGCCCCGGGCTTGCATGGGCCTCAAAGGACAGTCATCTATCTTCAGACACTGCCGCCGTCTGAGATCGATCTCATCTTGCAATACTCGGAATGGACTCTGAGAGCGGATCCCAAATTGGCCATGGAAGTGTTTATCGCAGACTCTGAAAATGCCGAGACATTACCTCGTGGCCGGATCGCTCGCTTCCTGGGCGGGATCGATCCAGGATTGGAGGTGCAGTACCTGGAGCACATCATCTCCGAGCTTGACGAGTCAACTCCAGATTTCCACAACCGTCTTGTCGAGCTCTTTATCAAGCATTTGAAGGAGAAGAAACGCGACGATGAATGGGACGCAGAGATGGATCGTTTCGTGCAGTTCCTCAAGACAAGCAGCCAGTACAGCCTTAGCAAGGCGTTCAGCCTCATCCCTCGCGACGGTAAGTTGATGTCCCTCGATGGCTTGTCGCAGTAACAACTAACACGGTGAAGATCCTGCTTTCTACGAAGCTCAAGCCATAGTGCTGAGCAACATGGGCTCGCACAAGCAGGCACTGGAAATCTACGTCTTTAAGATGAAAAATTACGCCAAAGCCGAAGAGTGAGTACCGCATCCTTGGTAAGATATGACTGTAGCTAATCGCTCTTTTCAGGTATTGTAATATCGTACATAAGTCCAGAGACTCTAGGCCTTCGTCACCAGACCAGTCACGACGCCCGTCATCGGCGGATGATCCTGAGGATTCGGCTCCATCCATTTACCACACCCTTCTTTCGCTGTATTTGACCCCACCGTCACCCCACAAACCAGCACATGACCCGGCTCTCGAGCTATTGTCGAGGCACGGATCGCGTCTACCGGCAGCATCAACTCTCTCCCTGATTCCCGACGACCTTCCTGTTCGCGATCTCGAGTCATACTTCCGTGGCAGAATTCGGTCTGCTAACAGCGTCGTGAACGAGTCGCGCATCGTAGCTCGGCTGAGAGACACGGAACTGGTATCGACGCAGGCGCTCCTGCTCCTTGGCGACGGCATACCCGGCGGACAGGGCGGGCGCAACAGAAGGGTGACGATTACTGAAGAGCGGCTATGTGGCGCTTGCCACAAGAGACTGGGGCGAAGCGTGGTGTCGGTTCTTCCAGACAACAACGTGGTCCATTATGCGTGTTTTAACAAGGCAACGTCGCAGCGACCGCAAAGCTCTCGGGCAGGAAACTGGGCTCGAAGGTTTTCGTGATTGAGGGTTTGCAATAAACGGGCTGGCGGGCGGTAGTTTGAGGCGTGTGGGTGTCGTTGCTTGTGTTTTTTGTTCTTGGTACATATTGGTACTCGCATAGCCTTGGGTTTTTGAGAGCGGCAGCATGATACAGCAATACCCCGTATATAGGTGGCACAGAATGTACGATTGGCGCCGTGAAAGGTCAAGAAAGTTTTCATGCCTCCCTCCCCTTTGAGCTGCTTGTCGCTTCAGTCGTCTGAGGGGGGTGCCTCCTCGCCGTAATTCTCCTCCTCCAGCGCCTCGTCGACGGCCGACTTGGTTGCGGTGGTGCCACCGTTCTTTGCGGCCTCCTTGGCCTTGTCCTCTTCCATGCGGGCGGTGAGTTCCTTGTTGATGTGCTCCTGGGCGGCGTTGATGGACTTGCGCAGGGCGTTGAGGTAGGCGGACTTGTCGCCGGGCGCGGAGGATGGTGGAGCGGGGAGGGATTCGGAGAAGGTGAAGGGTTCGTTTGCGGGGGATTGGTAGGTTGCTGAGAAGTGTAGGGCCGGAGCGGCGGCGGTGGTGTTTGTGTCTGCCATTATTTAATGGGTTGGGGATGTCGTGGTCTCGTGGGTTGGATGGGCAAGGCAATTAGGCTTGGTAGGCTGTGGTTGCGTTGTATTGATTTAGACGATGCAAAAATAAGTGAAATAAAAGGTATGACGAAAATTGACCGTGGCTCGTTGGGGTTGGCTTGGAAGGAACAATTGCCCCTCTTCGCGTCCCTCCATCCATTCCAGCTGGTCCCAATCCAATGTTGCGCTGAAGATGGAACCTGGAACAACTGCGGGGTTGATTACACTAAGTCAGCCCGCCTGCCGGCCCCCCTCAAGCCTCCTGATGACTGGAAGCCATGGATGCGCCGCCCAAGCCATGCCAGGGTCGCAACCCGCGGCGCGTCAGTGGTGGGAACAAGGGGGATGGGATCATGGCAGGACTATTAGGTGGGGGCAGAAGAAAAGGACTCGGGGGCAGTAATTAATTACGCTGGAACCTCACGGCTGGCTCGTCGCACAATGCGCCAGACTGTCGAGTACAGCAGTAGGCATCGTTCCTTGGTTCTGGCGGGCAGGGTAGGTGAGGTAGCATGGTCATCTGTTACATGGGAAATCTGACGGGAGCTGACCCGGATTTGGTCCGCGGGGGTTAGGTTGCTGGATGCGCTGCAATTGGGGGGGATTTGCTCACCGCAAGCGAAGACGGCCGCCCGTTTTGCTCGCTTCCTCAGCAACGAGAAGTCGATAGTCCAGGGTTAATGATTAGGTAGTGACCTAGATGCGGCCGCTGACCGATGGCAAGCGATGCGTTGATACGGATAAACAACCAGGTATAATTACGTGCAGGGCACCGGCAAGGTAGGTGAGATGCAATGGGGAGTACCTATCTTACGGACACTTGCCAAGGTAGATTGCCTACTGGATCGCAGCAATACTTTGCGGAGTACAGAGGGCATTGATGCTGATCTTTGTGTCCCTTGTCTACCTCACACTTCGGCTCTGTGAGGGTGAGGCGCAATCCACTCCTCGCGCTTTCTTTCTCATTACCACCCTTTTCCCTCCCTCACCTCGTATTTCCCCGGCCTTCTTACATCACCACCACCCTTTCTTTCAGCTTTCCAGGTTTCTCAATCCTCGAGCACCACCACCACAACCACCACAACTTTTCACCTTTTCAAGGTGCTCTTGATCGCCCGACCGGACGAACAACCTCTCCATACTGCCCTTGCCCTCGACAAACCAACCATTCCACTTTTACAAACCGATCCAAGCGCAACAAACCTTCAAGACTCCTCCACCCGATCCTCGAATCGTCCGAAAATCCAAGATGTAACAGAACCCTAACACATCCACGACAATGCAACCAGCACGACCCCCGCCGCCCCGAGCGCCGGGCAGCTTCAGCCCTCTGCCGGGCTCGACAGCTTCCACCGCACCGCACCCGCAACGTTCACGACCGCCCGCCCGCGCCGAGTCGTCATCGAGCGAAGAGAACCTCGCCATTCACTTCGTCAAGCCCCGATCTCACGCTCCGAGCGCGCCCGCCGCCCCTTCCACCAGTACCCCGATCTATGCTCAGTTTACCGCCCAGGCCAACTCGAGCACCGCCAGCCTGCAAAACTTCTCGCGCCCGACTGCTCATCGGTCGGGAACCACGCCCGGAGGTCCAGTAGGCCCTATCTCGGGAGGAGGAAGCGAACTGAGCGGTAGTGTGAGCGCTGCTGCTGCTGCTCGCACCGCGAGCCCTCTGACCAAGGGACACTCGAGGAAGCACAGCCAGACGCCCGGCCTGTTCGACTCAACGCTGCCCTCGACGAGCCTCTCGAACCTGTCTCAGGTGGGCATGTCACACCCATCTGCCAACTCATCTTCAACACATCAGCATCAGCACCAGCAACAGCACCCGAGCCCTGCCCTCTCCGCGAGCCACATCGCGGCGCAGGCAGCCTTTCAACATCAGAACACTCAGCAGCACCAGCAGCACCAACAGCTCCAGCACGCTCGACAGCGATCACAGACCGTCCCGAACCCGGCCAACGGAGACGCCGAGAGCGCAAGGAGGGGGAGCAGCGGAAAGGGCCCACTCAGCCCGCCTATGCTAAGCCTGACCGAGGCAAGCGGTCCACGAGAGAGCGGCTTTGGAACTCAGGGATACCACAACGGCCTACTTGGAGGCCATTCCGCCGCCGCGACCACGGCAGCGAACGCAGCAAACGCAGCAGCCAACGCAGCGTTCCCGCGATCGGGGCAGACATCGCCTGGCTTGCCCCAGTCGCAGCATCAGCAGCAGCAGCAACAGCACAGTCCTATCAATCCTACGCCGCAACTTATTCCAGATCCGAAGCCGGTGAAGCCAGAAAAATCAAAGGTCAAGCTCTTCTCCCGTCCGGTCAAGATCGGCACCAAGGGCGACCCTAAAGACAAACCGCTCCCTAGTCCGAGCAAGATCGGCAGTGCGCTCGCATCATTACAACGCGGGAATTTCAGCACGAGTAGTCTCATCGATACCAGCGGCCAATCTATATATAATCTCAACAACGCATCGTCCGCAACCATCAGAGCAGTGCCCGAGACGCCCACCATGGAGAAGGAAGGCAAGGAAAAGGAAAAGAAGCATCACTTTTTGTCGCGGCAAAAGCACAAGCTCAAGGATGACTACCATCTTCCGCTGTCTTCCGCATCGAGCAATTCGAAACCGACAGACCCCAGCGCCCCCTCGAGTTTGTACAGTTTCAACTTACCCCCTAGTCCGGCCCCGACTGCAACGTCGTTTGGCAAGGGACGAAGGGACAAAAAGACTGAAAAAGAGAGCAGCAACCTCGGCGTCGAGTCCAGTTCTCTCCCGTCGGAATGGCCAGGTCCAAGTAGCCTGCCGACATTGACGCATCAGTCGTCGTATCTATCTGAACCCATTGACGCAGGCAAATACGGCCTCAACAGCATGGCGCTCGACGATGCCTGGCCGTATCTGAAAGCCAAGATGCTCGTCATTTTTGAAGGCGAAGATCTGCGACAGCCGGTGGAGGATTTCAATAGGTTGGTGACGTTGCACATTCAATACTGCATCCAACGCATGTCGCCCAACATCATTCTCGAGGATTTGCGCGAGCTCTTGTCGACTGGCTTCGCCTCCCTGGACCACACTCTCCGGCGCACGCAGGAAGACAAAGTCATTCCGGCTCTCGTCGAGATGTGGCTCATCACCTACACCTCGATTCTGCCTTACATGCAGGCCGTCTTTTTACCCTTAGACCTCGAGTTCTCTGGCTGTGGCGTTCTCATGAACCCGGACCAAGCCCGTCAATTCTGGGGCGGCGTCAAGTCACAGTCCTCCGATAGCGGCCCATACGTTAGTCCCGCATCGGCAGTGCTAGATGTGCGTCGTATCGTACTTACGGCCTACCGCGATATTGTCATCCTACCCCGCTACGACTCTCTCAAGGCCATCTTCTCTCGGCTTTCTCTCGAATTTCTCCCGTCCTCGTTCGCATCTTTAGCCCTCGCATCTCCGCTACCAGATCCGGCGCTTTCTTCAAGTCCCGCGGATGCAATCAGCATGATGCGACCCGGCACAGCTATGAGCCTCGATCCGTCCGTGGCGAGCTATAACTCGAACGCGACGACGCTCCTGGGCGACGGAAGCGCAGGAGGCGGCGGACGCAGCCGTGCCATTAGCAACGTCAGCTACGCCAGCGCCGGGAGCGACGGCCAGATGCGCCCGTTTACGCGAGAGCAGAACGTCGAGGACTCTAAGCAGGTCACCGAGATGGTGGGACGCATGTTGCAGTGCATGAGCATACTCGCCAGCATCGGAGGCGCGACGGGCGACGGCAGCGAGGAGGGAAACAGAAGGATGGAGGAGCTGTGCCGGCTGCTCAAGCTGAATTGGCTTGGTAGGGGTCGGACGGGCAGGAACAGGAGAGGTATCGTGGGCGGCAGACGAAGGGAGATACCCGAGTCTATTAGGGAAGGGTTGCGCGTCGTCTAAGGGGGCGGTCGGTTCATGGGGATGTGCTGTGATGGGACGGCTTTGGCTTTGGTGCTTTTTCCCCCCGACCGTTCACCTGCTGGAAAGGGGGGAGGCGTTTACTCTTGGGATCAGTTTTGGGTGCAGGTCGGATTTTAGAACGTTCTTTTTGGGCAACGTGAATAACGCGGTGCATGGCTACGGCCTCCGTGATGGCGTTTGTTTCAGTGGGGTTGGGCTGCAGCATTTTGGGAATAGTACTCTTGTGGAAGGGACGCGGAGGTTGCTCTTGTCGTTGTTGTTTGTTCGAGACATGGCAGAGGGAAGCAAAAAGTTATCAATTCAAGAGAGACAATGACGTCGATTCTGGTATTTATGGTGTGTGTGGTATTTTGGGATGCTTTGTACATGCCTGCCTGGTTCGGTGATGGGATTGATGTTGTCGCAACTGAAGACGTCGTTTTGGCATCTCTTTTGACGGCATCTCTTTTATTGGAGCCTGCGTGCTTTCCACTACCTACCCTGCCTGACGCCAGACGCTTATGGCTTGAGTTGTCGGTGATTTTGCCTTACTTTTGGACATTCAGGTCGGAGGCTCCGTGTGTGGTTGATCAATTTTACTTGGTGATGTTATGCTCATCAGACTTGGTTTGTTATTTCATCGTGAACACCCAGCAAGGGGTCATAGATACATCACCAGTCCTACACGTTCACTACAATCCCGTGTTGGACCGTGGTTTTGGACTGGGATTGGAACATAGCGACGACTGGCAGCTTGGGGCATCGCGTGGGCATTTTGTCATGATATCGCGTGTGGATTTACCACGTTATTTTTCCCTTAACCACAACATCCGGATGCAATTGCGAGTATCCGGCACACGTCATATTCACGAATCACAACGAGCAAGGCAGAAACGATATGGTTTACAAAGATGAATGAAGATTTCATTATTATTAATAGCTGTTTGCAGCGCGTCCAGAAGGACACGAAAGCGATCTGAGCAACGTAAGATACCATCCATAGAAGCGTCCTATTCTTGAAAATCCCGTTAGCTTGCCGTCGAGCAAAGGTCAAGTTCGTTGAAAAACAATGTTTGTGATAAAAATAAATCAGACATCCAAGGAAGTGTTAGCCCTCATACGTCGCTTAAGAAACGCTTTTGCAAGCGTTCCCGCCAAGGCTCAGGCCGCGACTCGAGTGAAAACTGCGAACAAGTGGAAATTTCATCATAATATGGTGTGGTGTTGTTGCGTCGATGTGTGGAGAAAGATAAAGTACTAACCTTGTGGCTCGAGGGTGATGAATGAGATGCTGGAGAGGTTAGTGATGAGAGAGCGGAGAGGTGTAGCAGCGTGCGTCGTGTCCCTACTATCACACTTGTCAGCGAGGTTGCTCTTGGGGGCAAGAGATGCCAGTGCTGATGAAGAGTGAAGATGATGTGTCAGACAGAATATACTGGCAAGTAACAGGTTCCTTTCGAGGGGAACCCGAACAGACTAGGTTTCTTCATGGTCGATTCGGTTGGGAAAAGAAGACAATGTTTCTTGAATGTCATCATTCGGAGAGAGATGCGAGAGCCGTGTGAAGAAAAAGATATGATGCTTACCTGTATGTAGGCCGTCGCAGCGACAGCCAGAGAAAACGCGCGCGCAAAAAGCAATCAAATGCAAAGCTTGAAATGAAGTTTGCGATCTCTGAATGCAGCGTGAGTGCGGTCCTGGCTGTCGATACGAGAGTGTGGCGTGAGAAAGAAGTTGGTTGCCCAGAGTTGGTGAGAAGTTATGGCTTGACGTGCAGGAGAAGAGATTTTATAGATGAGGCTCACGAAGGAAATAGTGGGGACACAGCCTCAAAGATTTTTCTTTCTCTTTCCTTCCCCTGGCGGGCGGACACCCGACCCTTTGGACGAATGGGTCCACTTCCAATTCACCTCCAACACACGTGACTCAAGCTTGGATCTCTGGTCGGGTCCGAAAAAAGTTTTGGTGGGGATTGGGGGAAAGCTAGAGTCGCTGTGCACCACGTGACCTTGGAGCTCGGAGATATTCGCCGTAGTGCCCGATCCCCGCCATAGAAGGATTTAAATTGAGCTCATTGGACCCTTTCTCAAGGTTCATGTCACCAGACGAGCAATGGAGGGGGGGGGGGGGGGAGGAAGCCGCGAGTGAGATGACCTCTAACACCTCTCTCTCTCCCCCGTGCTCCGGTACGTGTGTGATGGGGTCGAGCAAGTAAAAGCGACCGGGTGGTTCGGTGGACACGTGGTGGCCATTGGCGAACGCGAAACCCAGGCGGAGGACGGGCAGCTCTACGCGATTCCGGCGCTATCATTTTCGCACATTTGTCATGTTGCTGCCGTGGTGGTCGAGCGAGGAAGATTGAAAGGACGACACGGAGCACCTAGTGAGAGGATGGTAGCAAAAAGAGACTTGGAGGTAAGGTATCCGGCCCGGACTCTCCTGCGTGCGCTGAGCAATGAGGTGTACTTTTGCTGTGCTGGTCAATTCTGCTACACTGCTTGACCCCTGGGTGGATATTGCTGAAGAAGCTTGCCTTGTTGCATAAAAGTGCTGATCGCAGCCCTCCCGCTCTTCTTGATAAAGGCATGTCCCGCATTTTTCTGGAGCTTCCCGCCACCCCATTCCGGCATATCCATGTTTCTACATGTCGTATTGTTACATAGCGTATCCTACAAAACGATTGGACCCACTCTCCCGAAGCCGATGGGAGCAGAGAGCAGCAGCAGCCCGACATTCTGGCATGGTCGCCCGCCCACCTCACGCTTCTCTGTCCCTGCTCTGTTCCCGTTCCCCAGGGCCCTCTCTCTTTCTCGCTCGACCTCGATCCTTATCCCGCCATTTTATGCCTTATGCCTTGTACCTTGCCTCGTCTTAGCTTGCCTACCTTACCTTACCGTCCCTTCTCTCTCGGTGCTTCCATTGCTGTCTCTTGATCGGCCTCTGGGCTTGGATTTGGGCACAAGTTGAAGCCTCGCCTTTCAACCTTTCTACGGAGTACGCATACAACCTCCCATTTCTACGACACCACTTGGAGCGCCTCCTACTCCTCCTCAAACACCCCTGGCTGAAGCCTCTTTTTTTTATAATTTGTTCCAGTCTACCGGGGCTCCGGACACTCATCTCGTTCCGTAGTACTGCTTAATTGCAAACACCCCCAAACAGCCAACCTCCAAAGCAAATCACTTGGGTTTCCGCTGCCCGCTTGCAAAAGAGCCAGAGCTCAGCACGCCCAGCCAGAGACTCTCTCTTCCAGCCCAGTTCCCTTTGGTTGCGTCGTCTCTGCGTCCGTTCTTCTTCAGCCAGCCTGCCAGCACCGCACCGTACCACTCACCCACCTCCAAAAAACCCCCCCAAATCTTTCTCTCCCTCTCTCCTTCCCGCTTTCCTGGCAAGGCAAGGCGGCGCGGAAAAGGCTTGTTCGTTGCGCTCGACTTGTGCAATAAAAAATTGGGCATCTCGAACCAACCCGCTCTCCGAATGTCATCGACACCGGTCGATTGAAGCATTCGTCGTCCACTCTCACGAGATTCCCACATCTGTTTCCGCTCGCTTTCGCTATCGCGCGAAACGTCGACACGTCTTTGCGTCCGTCGTATCCATCCTTTCGAGATTACCTTAGACAACCAACGCATTTTCCCTTCTCTAGTCGCCCACGTCTTTGCCGACGCCAACTTTCTACCCCGTCACTCAGTCGGGCTCTCCTTTGGTCGCAGGGCACATACCCACCCGCCATCTCACCTCCCCTTACATCTCACTTCCACTTCTTTCGTTGTTTGTCGTCGCATCCCGACCTCCTTACCACAATATCGCCTACCCACCGTTGTCGTCACGCCGATCATCGATGCCTTCTCGGTCCCTCTTCACCTGTTGACCCGACCGTTCGCATTAAACGACTCCTATCGCAATCGATAACGCTAGTCGAGCCCGCCCGCACCCGCACCACGCGATTGACACCACTTCCCGCGTCTTGCAAATCACGACTCCATCGCTGCCGCGTCGCGCCCATCTCCGCAACTCCAGCCGCCCCAATCCTTCGTACCTTTGCGGCCCCGATTACCGATTTGTCGTCGAGATAGACCACCTTTGGACGTTGGCGCATGAGATAGTACGGAGGATAGACACGTCGATATCCACGCTGTGGATCATCGACACGCCGGAGACATGATGACGAGTATGGGACCGTCTTTTGCAGGCCATCCTGCCGGCATGCAACAGCATCCAGGTGTACCCGGGCACCCCATGGCCCAGGGTATGCCTCACAACCCAGGGCAGCAAGGCCCGGGCGGAGGAATGCCTCACCAGATGCACATGGCAGTATCAGGGCCTGGTGGTCAGGTTAATCCAAATCAGTTGATGGGCGGCATGCCGCCGGGTGCTGGAGGTCCGAACGCTCACGCTCTGCAGCATCTCAATCCTGCCCAAAACCAAATGTTCCAGCAAAATCAGTTTGGTAACTGTATGTTGAGCCCACGCGCCTCGCCTCGGTGTCTTGTCTATTTGCTTCCTTACTGACCGAGTCGCGTAGTCCAAACTCCAGCGGCGATGGCGCACGCCACCCAGATGGCACAGCAGCGCTTGTTCCAGCAGCAGCAACAGGCGCGACAAGCGCTCATGGCCCAGCAGGCCTTCAACGCGAATATGGCGGGCGTCAATGGTATGCCGATGGGAATGCCAATGAACCCGATGAACGCAGCTCAGATTGCGGCTATGAGGCAGGGCATGCGGCCGGTAAGTATCGCATATCCAACTTGCTACTCACATTACTTACGATAGGATATAGCAGCAACACAACCCCCAGGCACAGGCGATGCTCGCTCAGCAGATCGCTCTCCAGCAGCAAGCCGTCGCTCAACAGAATCAACAGATGCAACAGGGCCAACAACAGCCCGGCCAGCCGGTGCAGATGAACCCTCAGCACATGCAAAACCTCCAACAGGCCCAGATGGCAATGCAACAGCAGCAAGCCCAGCAGCAACAGGCTCAGCAGCAGGCTCAGCAACAGCAGGCTCAGCAACAAGCTCAGCAACAGGCCCAGCAGCAAGCGCATCAGCAGCAGCAACAGGGCCAGCAACCCCAAGGCGGACCGCAGCAGCCTCAACCGCAACCCCAGCAGACACCGCATCAGACACCACAGCAGCAGCCGGCGCAACCCGTCAACCCTCAATCTGCAGGACAGCCCACGCCGTCTCAAACTCCGGGCCCGGCCCCGAACCAGCAACCGCAGCCTCCTCAGCCTCAAGCTCAACCGCAGGGTCCTCCTCAAATGGCTCCCCAACCTGGACCGCAACAAATGAACCCCGCGCAGCAGGCTGCGGCCCAGGCTGCCGTTGCCAACAGCATGGCTCTTGCTCAACAACAAAGAAGGGAAGGAATGAAGGGACACTGCCTACTCAAGTTAATGCAGTTTAGCGAACATTTGAGTGGCTTCCCCGTAAGTTGAAACTGAAGACAGCACTCAGTCACAGTTCACTAACAAAAAGCCCAGGGCCCCAAGGGCAAAGACGACCTGTCCTACTGGAATAGCTTCGTCAATCAATTCTTCTCCACCAAGGGCGTGTTCCGACACTCTGTTCACATCACCGACGTCGAAGACCAGGCAGACAAGCAATACGAGATTACCTACCCCGCACTTCCTCGATACTTCCACACGCACTTCGACAGCGGTGTCAAGAACATGCAGTTGATCATGGAAAAGGGGACGACGGATCGACCACTCCCCGGCGACGGCCACTGGATTGAGAACACGAAGTCCAGTTTGGTCTACTGGTACGACAGCGGTTCGCACGTAAGTCAAAAGCTTCTATTGCCGAGGACTGATACAGCTTCTAATCTTGCGCGCAGCTTGTCGCTACGGGCACCGTCAGAGCCCACTTTGATGCGGAGCAAAAGATTGAACTCTTTGAATTCTTGACAAC